ATACTGTGCATTGTGTATTTTACCAAGAACAAACAGCTGCTTGGTGAAGGAGAGAGCATTCCAGGAAAAAACATGAAAAGACTACAAAATGTGGTTAGTACCAAGGTTTCACATGGATGTGTAATGGCGTGCTTATTTACCTGCAGTGTATCCTTGTTTCTACTATAGTACTGAAGGATCAGTCTGATGGTGGTGATGTGAGCTGCACTGAGCACCGACCTCAGGCTGCTCACTGGTATATTGAAGTACTCCTGGAAACAAACACAGAAGGGAATTAGTCATAATAACATAAACACAGATGATTAAACATGCATGTTTTAGCATTTAGGTTATGACATATCTTACCTTAATGACATAGAATTCATCAGAGGTCACATCTCTTGCTGTTTGCATCAAGCTGGTTAGTACTCGCTACAGAAGATAAACACACACTCAGCACAAATACACACAACTGTGACACTATTTATAGAGACGGTAATGGAAACATATAATCTGAGTGTCTGTTTTGACACATTATTGTTATTGTCATATCAAGTGTGAGCAAGTAGAGATCACACCCACAGGGAGAGAGTCAGCATGTCGACATCAATGACAAGAGTGTAACTGTACACCACTACTTGTTTTTGTCTTCCCATCATATGTATCGACACAATGTTACTGTATAAATAAGCTGATATCTGTCTAGGATGTTTGCTGATTTATACAATAACATCAAACTTAAGTGATATTTTCAAAGCACAACTTTTAATTGTAATAGAATTTTTAGGTTGCAGGATTGCTACATTTACTTTAATAATCAATCTGAATATTTAATCCTCAGGTGAACGTAAGATACTTCCCAAACAACCACTCCACGATCAAACTACCTACCCCAAAGCACTGCAGCAAGACCTTCTTGTTGTTGAAGTTGTTTTCACTCTCAAGATAATGAGCTACGGATGTTAATACACCGAGTCTTATGTTCTCTGTGACGTGCAGCGAGGTGTTCTGGACTTCCTCCAGAGCCAAGAGGATCACCACAGTAGTGCTGACCACCTGCTCCAACACTGAAGCCGCAGGTGGTGTCAGCAGATCCTCCAACCTGGATTTCAGACTGTCTGCCCAGCAATGCATCATTATCTGCAGGGCCATATTCTGACTGGCCCCAGGCTGACAGACTGAGTCGAATTCAGCTGAGCAGGTCCAGTTCAACTGCTTTACCAAGTTTCTTGCCAGACAAAAATTAGGCTCAGCAGTGGTGCTATTGCCGGTTGTGGTAGTAGTGTAGTTTGTGTAAGTGGCACACATGCGGCTCACCCACACACTAGACGGCTCTCGGGACAACATAGAGACAAGACCGGCATTAGGACATACATTAGAGACAAAACTGGTCTGGTCATGCTCCCAGCAGAGAGTCAGGAGTACTGCATCAGGAAGAGACGTGCTCCAGCTGGAGTACTGGCACTGCTCAGCAGGCTTGAATCCAGCCAGGCCACCTCCTTGTCCCACCTCACCACCAGGAGATATCTTTGAATTTGAATGGTTAGCACAGTACTGTATTAACCAGGTATTGTCCTGATTGGCCAACAGGTTCTGGAGGACTGTAGCATTGAAGCAGACTTTGGTGGTGAAGTTAAGTGTGTCCATCTCAGCACAAAGAGCTAGCTCAGTCATGTCCACAATGATGGGACTGGTCCACTCAGAGTATGTGCACACCTGAAGTACAAATGATGTGAACATAACATCAGAATACAAACTTTGCACTTTTGAGTAGTTTTAAAATAACATTTGTACTTGTTTTTTTAAACAGCTTACTCTTGTCCAAGTAGTGATTAATACTACTGTCTTTAGGTCTGTGTTTATATACTGCATAGGTAGGTAGGTAGG